AACGTTATAATCTGCGACACCGACATGTCGTCTATCGGGCCGGCGACAAAGTCTGGGTATGGAGTCCTATCCGCCGCCGGGGACTGTCTGAAAAATTGCTGAAGAAGTATTTTGGTCCCTACACAGTTTTACAACGCCTGAGCGACGTTAATTACGTGGTCGTTCCTGACAACCCCTCGACAACTCGCCAGCAAAAACCAGAAATCGTGCACGTTGTGCGAATGAAGCCCTACTTTTCGGAGTGATTTACATCATACATCTACTACACCGTCTTTTGTAGAAGAGCATCGGGACGCTGCTCTCTGGAGGGGGGCAAATGCCACATTGAATATGCAGCACGAAGATAACAACGAAGAACACGCGCAGCGAGTGAAGAGGACGAGGTTCTCTTCTGATCAGTTTACCAGTATTCTAATACAATTAAAGTGAGTTCCCTGGATTCGACTGCTGCTGTTTCTGCATTGTGACAATACAACCTCCTTGCAATGCTGCACTCGTGACTTCACTGCCGGACGGTTTTTCGTTTCGCCTAGCCATATACAACTTTCGCTGTAAAATGATAGTAGAAAGATAAAGATAGAGAGCACGGAGCACTCGCCGCACACATGAGTGAAAAAAAAAAAGGAGCGAAGAGAGAGAAAATGCTAGGGATATGGTCGGAAGAAGTCTGAGGACAGAGCTGCACTGATCGGCTAGCGCTGCAGGGCGCCGGCGACCACGGACAACGCAACCGTTCACCACGGAAGCCAGCAATCATCCCAGAGGCAGCGATCCCAAAGCTTAAAGCGACACTGAAGTGAAATAACAATTTACGTCAGTGTGAAACCTCAATGTATTGTAGCAGCGAGAGAAGAGAGACGTGAGACTGCGTCGTAGGCAGCCTACGGGGTCGTGCCAATCGCGCCACTTTATTCCACGCCCGAAGCCGAGCCGCGGTGGCTGTCCACGTCCGACGCGCCAGGTGCGTGAGCTCGTTCTAATCCTCGCGCAGCTCGAGCTAGCATCAGCTGCGCGAGAGGCGCGGCGCGGTGATTGAGAAATGATGATGGTGATGATGGCACTACAGGATCAACGTCTAAAACGGCAATGCTATTGACAGCAGTGCTCTACTTACGGAGACGTTAAAGCAAATACACAAGAATACATGCGCCGCAGTAGGACATTCTAAAAATGATCCCAATGACGTCGGACGGACCACCCACAATTATACACTAGTAATCAATCTAGCTTCACTAAACATCTTTCCGTGCATCAAGAGACGCAATAAAATGCTGCTTTTTCGTTTTTGTTTGATTCATGGAAAAAAGAACCGCCGGACGTCACTATAGGAAATGGCGCGAGTTGTTCGAAAATTCAAATTTCGCGTGGTTAAACTCAGAGTTATTGTACAGTTACTCTAGTTAAACTGAACAGGTTGTGTCATCTAGCGGCGCCCAGTTGAACTAAAAGACGTCTGCCATCTCGAGGCAATGACAGGGAATCGATCAATGGCCGCTGTTGCTGCTGTAGCTCCGCGGCTTTCGTACTGCTGCTACTAGTGTCGGTGGCTGCGCAGTAAAGCCGGGCAACGTTGCCCTCGGCAACAGCGACGTTAGACGGTCCGTTTCTTGAGGCGGGTAATTCGAAGTGGGCTAACTAGATGCGGACCTAGAAAACGTAATTTTACTTCAAAATAAGTTTTTTTGGTAAAATTTAGCACTACGAGGTTTCTGGACAACTATTAACAATCAACGTCGACTTCACAGTTGCCTGTAGTGCCCCTTTAAGTGCCTTTCTCACCGCAATCAAGGGACAGTCGGGCTCAATATTGCTATGTATTGCTACGTCAGCTAAAATGGCGCCAGCACATGCTATATCAGCTAAAAATGGCGCCATCACTGGAAATCGGCACCTACACAGAAAAAAATGGTGTGTGAAACTTTCTCAATTAGCGGTAATTTCTGAAAACATTTAACGTTTGTCAGTGTCATCGTTCAGGCTCGGAGTCACGTGAACCACAGCCTGCGTGCTGCATATCGAGCGTTACTGTACTGGTGTTTTGAATTGCTAATAAAGGTCAATAACAATACTTAAAAAACCATTGGTTCATTGAATAGAACTGCGAGCTGTTAATTTTCACTGCAAGGTGGTCCTGATAATAAGACTTTTTTCACACAGAAAACTCCTGAATGTACACTACTAAACAGTTATTGAGGTACATATGATTTTCTACGGCTTGACTGCAGGCTTGACTGCTGGTTGCGCAGAAGAACTGACATTTGGAATAGTTAGACGGCGTTAATCATGTTGAGCGTATTCACCGCACAAGGTTGATGTAAAGCACCACAGCTGTTCTCACAAGGCTTCGTTTGAACATGAACACATAGTAAATAGCCCGTGAATCACCCAGAGGCAGAAATGTAGATGTGGCATTGCAGTTGTGTACGAGCCTGTAGTGAACGCTGGTGTAATTCCACACGTTTCCTCGTTTCCTTCTTTCCTTCGCTAGGCGACGTTCGTCGGCTCGTTTGAACACCTCTCCTGTGCCCTTCCTCAGCGTCCGAGGTGGAAACGCATTGGGCGCGTGCATGTACTAGCAAAAACACGCTTTCTTCCGCCCAGTGACACCGTCTGTGATTCGCAGCGTCATTTATATTGTACGCAGCGTCAGTTAGCATCATGCCAGCTGTTATCGATAGAGGAAACGCATGGAGAGGAGGAAGGGGAGAAAAACTTTTTTTTTTATCCCAAGAGGGAAAGGTGCGGTGGTGAAGTGTCAGAGGAGCCTACCCAGCGTAGGTCTCCGCTACCCTCTTGGCCCAATACAAGATCTGCTCCTGGATCTCGAGCACCGAGCTGCACATAGCAGCCTCTCACTGCTCCTTACTATTAATGTGTAGGGAATTAGGTGGTGGGTTTCGGATACACCCCCACATGATATGGTCTACGTTGGTGGTTTACGGGCCCTTTAAAGCACAATCTATAACCATGTGAGAAAACACGCCGATTACGTAAACGTTTTACAACGAGAGCAACGTTTTTATGCCCCTTTTGACATCCGCCTATCAACGGTTTAGTTATGTATCAATTCACAATTTCGGTGAATCATCGTGTCAAGTTTGGGTACCTTTTAGACCTAATTCCCGCTTTAGTGCATAAAATTCTGATAATTAGATATTTGTAAGGTAAATACGTGGGCTTGTTAACATTTCCCAAGTATGAGTTGGAAATTGATTGCCAATAATTTTGAAGCTAGCGTGATCAGTAAGCAAATGCTCTTCGATTGCACTTTTTTTCGCGAGCGGAGATGCTTTGTGATCGTTATCGTTAACATACACGACGACCACAAATTCTCTCTTTTCGCCTTTTTGTAGACCCCCGAGTCACTAGTACAAGCATGCAGCTCCTTCTACTGATGTTCTAACAACAACAACAACAACAACAACAATAATAATAATAATAATAACATTCTGGCGTTCAATCTCACAAAACCACGATATGATTATGAGAGACGCCATAGTTGAGGGCATTGGCTATGTCGACCATCTGGTGTTCCTACTGACATCGCATAGTACACGGGACTTTATCTCTTCGCCTGCACTGAAGCGCGAATGCCGTGGTCTGGGTCGAACCCATGACCATTGGGTTCTTGGCACGTAGCCGAGTACCATAACCGCAGAAGACGCAGATCTTCTAAGATTAGGTATAGTATTGATTTTATTAGACGCGAAGCAGCTCTTTGACGCACGCGTGTAACTCCTTACGAACGTGCGTCCGTACGAACGTGCCGCAGCGTGTTCCCCACATCGCAGATGTTAGAGCGGTGCCAAATAGGTCACGCCGCAGCTGCGCGTTGACGTCGCGTTCCCCTCGCACACTTTCCTCGCAGGTGCGCGCTGACTCAACTCTCTCTCTCACCCACAACTGCGGGCTCCTCCGCCCGCTCGCGAAACACTTCTCTCTCGCTTCACACCCTCAACCGCTCGCAACGCTCGACCGCACGTCATGTGGGTACACTCTTTCGGCTCATTTATATGTGATAAAACTCACATGAAATCTACCCACCTCCCGTGTCTTTGCGTTTCAAACAAACGTTTACGTGAGTAAACGCTACACCAAGATTCGCTTCAAACCGTTCTTCCAGTACCCGCTTCGAAGCCTGTTTTTTCAACCGGGTCCGACGCCGTGCTCACCACCACTGATTCACATCTCACGAGGGTTCCTTCCGAGAAGATGGTCCATAGCTTTTTTCACTATACTGGGTGACTGTGGTGCGTGTTTTCTGTTCATTAAATTGAACGACATTACATGCAGTTTCCTTGTCCTGTATAGTGCTCTGCGATCGTAGCAACTACTTTTTCCTGTGTGGAAATTGAAAGCTTTATTGGCCGCAATATTTGTCGTGCGAGCGCTTGAAGTAGCAAAACGGTGCTAGCCTCAAGCAAGCGACACAACATGTCGACTAAAGGGAGCGATAACTACCCCTTGTCTCATGTATACTTTGTAGGATATCTATGCATGGCCCTTCAAGTTTCAATTCCAACGGAAATGTACTGCTTTTAAAACACCTTCACAAAGGCGTCAATCTCAGCTTGCTGTTCAGATTCGTTGAACTTCGTTCCATAGATATGTTTTGGCTCTGTTGGTTTGCTCCATGATTGTAAGTTATGTAAGCTGTCCATGTCCCTATGCAGCCAGGAGAATGCCGATGTTTGTTCATCTTTTTTCAAGGGCAAAAAAAAAAAGACCAAAGATGGAGCGTTGCTCGGATATAGTCGAACAACGAACAATGGGACACAATGCTGTGTGGGAAGATACGAGTGGAGCTACAGCCGAAAAATAGCACGATGGCACATCACTCGACATCGGCCTCTCAGTGTATTTTTCATTCATTCATTTTCTTCGATGATTCTCCCTTAGCAGTTGGCATGTTTGATCCAACTGGGTAAACTAAAAAAAATTCAGTAGGTGACGTTCTATTTCACGATCTCATTGTCTGAATTGTGTGCGTGGCCCAATCGCACAGTTTAAAACGCAGAAGTAGTGCCAAGTCGTACGTATGGCGTTTCGATGATTGCTTCAAGTTTCTAATAAGACTAACTGTCAGGCCTTGGGAGCGGTGCAACAGCAAGACACCTTAGCATTCATTTTTTTTTTGTCAGGCTTTCATAAAAAGGCGGATTCACATTTTCACCGCTTTTCGATGCAGCAATATCTGCAGGTAAGTCCTTTTTTAAGAATACGTCTAATGATCACTTTCTTTTTGCCTCATATCACCATTTGTTCTTCCCAGCACACGTTTTAAAAGGTGCTGGTACTGCAAGCGTAATATTAAGGTTAAGAAAAATTTTCCCGAAATTCATATAGGAATATGCGAAAAAAAGAGTGCCATTTCATGCTTCAAGTGTCCAAGCGTCTGCATTCGTGTAGGATAAGCGAAGAAAAAAATTCCATTTCATGCTTTCAGTGCCAATGTGGCTGAAGTAGTCTTACAGTTCCAAGTGAAACCTTTCATGAACGAAGAAGGTGTGATGTTAATAAATCTAAAAAAATGGAGCTTATAGTGTTGGCTAAGTCAGCTCATTAATATCACGTTATCTACTTTGGTTTGGCCTAGGCTAGACGAGGGTGCAATATAAAACACTGTAAATTCACCAACACAAAGTTTTCAAACACTGTATATATATATATATATATATATATATATATATATATATATATATATATATATATATATATATATATATATATATATATATATATATATATATATATTGTTAAGGCGTTTATTAGTCGGCAACGAGCGAGAATATACAATGGCGACAGTCACAGCCAAGCACGGGCTCTCAGCGCGAGCGGCGTCCTTGTTGGGTAGCCCCACTAGAAGGTACTCAAGAGTTCGACCCATTTCAGGGTTCAGAGGCTTCGCTACAATCACCCCTGGGTCGAAGAGGGAGCCGCCTGGCGACCTAACAGCTTGTTACTATGAGCGGGTCATAATAAGCCTTCAGGTGCTCCACGTTGACGATGTCTCGCCCACGGCGGCGCATGTCCGAAGATTGTTCAACGGGTTCGATCAGATAGTTGACGGGTGAGGTGCGCTCGATGACACGGTAGGGGCCTTCGTATTTGGGACGTAGTTTGGAAGAGAGGCCAGCTGCAGAGGTCGGGATCGAGAGCCATACAAGCGCACCAGGAAGGAACGTGGGCTCAGAAGTGGTGGAGCCATCACGAATACTCTTCTGCCGCTCTTGCTCTTGCGTCGTAAAAGTCTTGGCAAGCTCGCGACATACTTCAGCAACTGTCTCGGAAATAGGTGTACACTCAGATGGATCCGGCGTGTACGGGAGCATTGTGTCCATAGTGTGCGACGGGTGCCTTCCGTACAGCAAGTAGAAAGGTGAAAAACCAGTCGTGCTCTGAGGGGCGGTGTTGTAGGCGTAGGTGACGAAGGGCAGTATATTATCCCAATTAGTGTGGTTGGCAGCGACGTACATAGAAAGCATGTCACCGAGGGTGCGGTTAAAGCGTTCGGTGAGGCCATTCGTCTGTGGGTGGTAAGCAGTAGTTTTGCGGTGGACAGAATGGCACTCCGTCAGAATGGCTTCGACGACTTCCGACAAGAAGACACGGCCTCGATCGCTGAGAAGCTCTTGGGGTGGTCCGTGGCGCAGTATAAATCGATGCAGCAGGAAGGACGCAACATCGCGTGCAGTAGCCGCAGGGAGAGCGGCGGTTTCGGCGTATCGCGTTAAATGGTCAACGGCAACGATGGCCCAGCGGTTACCAGCCGACGTCAGAGAAAGTGGTCCATACAAATCGATACCTACGCGCCCAAAGGGACGGTCAGGGCAAGGTAACGGTTGCAGACCAGCGTGCGACATGTGGGCTGATGGTTTACGGCGTTGGCAAGTGAGGCAAGAGCGAACGAACTGCTGCACATAGCGGTACATCCCGCGCCAGAAGTAGCGTTGTCGAATGCGATGGTAGGTTTTGAATACCCCAGAGTGCGCGCATTGCGGATCAGAATGGAAGGATTTACATATCTCTGACCGCAGACTGCGGGGTATCACGAGTAACCACTGCCGGCCGTCGGCGTCGTAATTGCTTCGGTGTAGAAGGCCTTCACGAATGGCGAAATGGCGAGCTTGACGACGCAAGGCACGCGTGGATGGCGTTGCGGATGGATCAGAGAGCATGTCGATGAGCGGGCCGATCCAATTATACTTTCGCTGTTTGGTAGAGATGATGTCAACGTCAATGGCAGAAACAGCAGCCGAGGATACTGAGCAGAGCACATCACCTTCAGGCAGAGGGGAGCGCGAGAGGGCGTCGGCGTCAGCATGCTGGCCTCCGTTGCGGTACAGCACGCGGATGTCGTAGTCTTGTAAGCGAAGAGCCCAACGGGCGAGACGGCCTGAGGGATCCTTCAATGATGAAAGCGAGCATAGTGCATGATGGTCGGTGACGACATCGAATGGGCGACCATACAAATAAGGCCGAAACTTTGTAAGAGCCCAGACGATCGCCAGGCACTCTTTCTCCGTGACGGTGTAGTTTTTCTCGGCTCTCGTGAGCGTACGGCTTGCATATGCTACGACATATTCAGGGAATCCGGGTTTTCGCTGCGCCAGGACAGCGCCGAGGCCTACACCGCTGGCGTCCGTGTGCACCTCCGTTGGGGCTGTAGGGTCGTAGTGGCGTAGAATGGGAGGCGACGTCAACAAATGGCGGAGCTTCGCGAACGCGTCGTCACACTCGGATGACCACGAATTGAAGGGCCCGTTGCTTCCAAGGAGCCTCGTCAGCGGTGATATGATCATGGCGAAATTTCGTATGAAGCGTCGGAAGTATGAGCACAGGCCCACGAAACTACGCAGTTCTTTGACAGATGCAGGTTTGGGGAATTCGGCCACGGCCTGAAGCTTGGCAGGATCAGGAAGAATGCTGTCTTTGGACACGACGTACCCCAGTATGGTGAGTTGCCGTGCTGCAAAGCGGCACTTTTTCAGATTTAGTACAAGCTGGCATTGCTCACACGTGCGAAAACTTCTTTCAGACGTTGGAGATGCGTGGAGAAATCCGGAGCAAAGACAATGACGTCGTCGAGGTAACACAAGCACGTATACCATTTCAAGTTGCGCAGAACTGTGTCCATCATGCGCTCAAAGGTCGCAGGTGCATTACATAGACCAAAGGGCATGACGTTGAACTCGTACAAGCCGTCTGGCGTGACGAAGGCGGTCTTTGGTCGAGCGTCGTCAGCCATGGGTACTTGCCAGTACCCCGAGCACAGATCGAGAGAAGAAAAAAAAATCGGCTCCATGAAGGCTGTCAATCACGTCATCGATGCGTGGCAGTGGATAAACATCCTTGCGAGTGATCTTATTGAGCCGTCTGTAGTCCACACAGAACCGCACAGAACCGTCTTTCTTCGCAACAAGAACAACAGGAGACGCCCATGGACTGTCCGAGGGCCGAATAACGTCGCGTCGGAGCATATCGTCAACCTGATCATTAATTACTCGACGTTCAGCAGGCGACACGCGATATGGACGTTGCCGTAAAGGTGGATGGGCACCAGTGTCGATGCGATGCGTAACAACGGACGTGCGACCGAGAGAACTTCGCCCGACATCGAAAGAAGAACGATATTCTTGCAACAGGTCCAGAAGTTGGGAACGCTGTACAGCCGTAAGGTTGTCAGCGATGGAGGGGCCAAATACATCAGCAGATGACGAATCAGAAGTGGAAACAGCATTGATGGTACACGACCTGGAACCGCGCGTGTCATCGGGTACGTCCAGGACTTGTGCGTCGTCGACTGGTTCCACTCTGCCGAGACATTCCCCTCGAAGCAAGGTAACAGCGTACGGGGACGGGTTGGTTACAAAAATAGCAGTGTTGCCCTGGTTGACCTGCACGGTCGCGAAAGGTACTAGCAACCCTTTCCTGCTGCAAGCGCGGTCAGATGGCGAAACAAGTCCAATGGTGTTGGAGAGACCAGCGCAGTAGACAGACACAGCCGTCGTCGAGTTTGGAGGCACTGTTGTATCGTCTTTCGTTAGAATCTTGCTCAGTGTCGGGGGACTGTCTTCTGGCGTCAAATGCGAGAAGGGTGAGAGCTCAATTTCGGCGGCGGCATAATGGATGACGGCGTCATGGCGGGAGAGAAAGTCCCATCCCAGGATGAAGTCATGAGAGCATGCCTGAATGATAATGAACTGGGCGACATACAGAACGTCCTGGATGACAACGCGAGCTGTGCACACTGCTGTAGGATGAATGCGGTGCAAACTTGCAGTACGGAGGGATAACCCAGAAAGTGGCGTCGTCACTTTTCGAAGTAAGCGGCAGAGTTTTTCGTCCATAACTGATACGGCAGCTCCAGTTTCAATAAGAGCCGGTGCACAAACACCGTCCACAAGCACGTCAATGACATTCGAGGGGCTGCTCTGAGGGCTTTCACATTGCAATAGCGTCGCAGTCCTTGCCTCGGGGACTGCGACGACTAGTTTTCCCGCTCATGAGCAGCCGCACTTGGCCGCATGGGGGACAGGGAACGACGTCGTGGAGACGCCGATCTTCGAGATGGACCTGGGCGAGACCGAGGTGACATAGACGGCGGTTCTTCATGATAAGGACGGCTGAGTTGGCCAGCAACAGGTGAAGAAATCGGAGCCGGCTGTACGCGATGGCAATAACGGGCTACGTGACCGGCGTAACCACAGGCAAAGCAGATGGGCCGGTTGTCGGGTGTGCGCCATCTGTTCACCGAGGTAGGTCTCACCCATGTCGTAAGGGCCGATGGACGGAACGGTGGCTGCATGGTGGACTGAAGCTGAGGCTGAGGGGTTACGTCAACATACGTAGCGGGCATACCCGCTGCAAAGGACGGAGGTCGTGCAGCAGCTTCAGCGTAGGTCAGAGGGGCGGGTGCTTGAACGACTTGGGGCGGCCTGGCGACCACTTGCGCGTAACTCAGAGACGCAGGAGCCGGAGGCTGTTGGGGCTGGTAAGCAGGCATTACCTCCGCTATTTCCTGTTCAATCGCTCGGTGGATGGGAGGGAGAAGGGTAGTAGCCGATTGTTGAACAGCAGGTTGGTGGGCAAAGGGCAGGAGCGAGAACTGACGCGCGATTTCCTCACGGATAAAGGACTTTAGGTCTGCCATCAACGCCACTTGGTCACAACTGGCCTCCAAGCCAGCAAGCGTTGCAG